AGCCCCCCCCACCCCAACCAGGCCCCACGGCTGCCCCACACAGTGGTGAAGATGCGCATCAAAGAGATGACGGAGGAGAACGGGGAGCGACGGCTGGTGGCCGCCCAGAAGAAGAAGGTGCTGAAGCTGGGCCCGCTCAAGCGCAAGGACACCAAGAAGATGGTGCTGCACATGAGGAACGCAGGTGCCTGCCCCTGCCCCCAGCTTGACAGCCTCAGCGGCAGCTTCATAGTGATAAGGTGGGCAGCCGCCTGCTCCTCCTTGCTGTCTACCCCTGGCAGAAGCACAACAAGGAGATGAAGTTTGCCGTCAAGTTCATGTTCTCCTACCCCTGCCCCCTCTACCACCCCCTGCTCTATGGGGCCAGGCAGCACTAGGCCTCTGCCCACCCTGCCCTGGGACTCTTGCACTGGCCCAATGCTGCACCTCTGGCACCCTGGCTGCGCCCCAGGACCTCATCTCTGCTCCCCTCAGCCCCTTAGCCATACCCCAGGACCCTGCTCTGCACCCCCCCGGGATTCCCAGCTGCCTTCATGGGAGCTTTGATCCTCATCGAGGACCCTGACGCCCTCCTGAGAGCCCTGCTCTGCACCCCCGGGACCCCCAGCTGCCTTCATGGGAGCTTTGATCCTCATCGAGGACCCTGACGCCCTCCTGAGAGCCCTGCTCTGCACCCCCGGGACCCCTGTTCTGCTCCCAGAACCCTTGCTTTGCATGCTGGTGAGCCCTGCTTCACACTAGAGACCCTTGACTGCCCCCAAGCCCCCTGCCCGGCACCCTAGGGACCCTTGCCTGCACTTAGGATTCCTGCTTGGCCCTCTTGGGATCCTTTGGCTGCACCCAAGACCCCTGCCCTGCACCCCTGTGTCCCCTGCCCAGATCCCTGGTAACATGCTCCAGACCCTCAGCACCCCCACCCAAGCTTCCCATGCCACCCCCCTGAGCTCATGTCCCAGCCGTGGATCATCCCACCTTCACAGAGACACCCAGACAAGGCAGGTCCCTCCTGCCCCACTGTCCCTGCAGACTGGCCAAGACCAAACACCCAGAGCAGCATGGCCCTTGCCTGGGCTCCCTGACCCTTCTCATCCCACATAGCTCAACGGGGTGGTCCACCTCCAAGACCCCCAGACCAGCCCTGCTGCATACCCTGCCACACACACCCTGCCATGCCCCAGCCCAGGCACCCATTATCTGACCACACCGCAGTAAATTATTCCGCCTTGGAGAATCCTGTGTCCAGTTCCCTATGGTTCATGGGCAACTTCCCCTTGGGGCTCCCTCAGGGACCCCGGGAAGGATAGGAGGGGGCTCCCAGTTCTGCCTACCGAGTGGGGCAGTCCGAGGGAGCAGGGTCACCCTGGTCTCTGGCTCTAGCCCTGCTCCAGGTGCCATGCCCAGAGCCTGAGGCTGGGCAGCCCAGCCAAGACAAGGGATGAAGTTCTCAGCAGTCACAGGCATTGCTGGGGACTCAGGCATCCCTGACATCTCTGTGCCAGCCCAGGGAGCCTGAGAGGGTGGTGAGATGGGGAGGATGGGGGGGGGGCGGACAGGGATATCACTGCTGCTGGAGCACCACAGCTGGGTCTGTGAGTGTTTGCCAGAGAGATGCCTCCCTCCATCGCCCACGGGGGACAGATCCATGGACTGGGAGTTGGAGGTGCATGCAGGGATCCTGTCACTGAGCATAGTCGGGGGGCAGATCCAGGCAGTCTCCATTCCTGGGCACCCGCCTCCGCACCACCTGAAAGCCCTGTCTGCAGCTCTCAGCCAGCCCTGCCTGGCTGCCAGACCTCCCACTCCACAACATCCAGCCTCCTCCCAAAAGGTTCCCCAGGGACACCCACCTGCACCAGCCAAGACCCCCCCAGCAGCACTGGGATCAGGGCAGCCCACAGCCTGGCCCCTCTGATGGCTTGGATGCCTCAGCCCAGGAGCAGGGACTCAGCAGCCCCAGTGGCCCCCGAGTCGCAGCAGGCGAGAGGGGCAGCCCGCTTGCCACCGTCCCACTCCGGCCCTGTTTACCCAGCACATTCTTGAGTCCGTCTGTCCCGCCGGGTGAGGGAGGCACGAAGGCAGCTACCGGGATATTTACCCAGCACCTGGCTGCCTGATGCTGTGGCTTCTCACTGGAGCTGGCCCCGCTGCAGGGAGCTTCTGGGGACAAGAGGGGAATTGAGGCTGCGGGATGCCTGTGCTCACCCTCCTCCTGGATGATGAGGCCACTGGGCACCTGCCCCTCACCAAGGTGATCCCTGCTCCTGCTGCCTGCCTTGGACATGGCCTCGGCCCCACTGGCCATCCCCCAGACCCCAAAGCCCCAAAAGGCACTCACGTCCCACTCCAGGCAGGCACATGGGGCAGACAGACCCTGCCACAGCCTCACACTGGGGGCACCCCCACCCTCCACCTCAGTCAATATGGAAAAAAAAACAGAGAAAAAACACAAACATTCTTAGAAGGTATGTTCAGAGCAAGGCTGCTGAGCACACTGCCATAGGAATAAACATCATCAATTATGTTATTTTACTGCAAAACTTAGAAGTGCATAAATAAAACCCCACCTCCCACAGCCGAAGTTTATCTGTAGCCCTCTGTATTTTGCGTCATTAGCATCTTTCCAGGGAGCATTTAGACATACATGGCCATTGCACTCATCGCTCCAAGTGTTTTCTCTAGAAACACAAGTGACTTCTCTCTGCCTCCACTGTCAGCCCTCGGAGCTCTACAGCTCAACCCCCCGGCCCAGTGCTCTCCCCGTTGCAGCTACACTCTCACCACCTCACAGCTCTTGGGATGCACACAGCCCTCCCCCCAGCGCTATGGCTGCTCCGTAGCACTCACTGACCCCCCCAAACACCCTGGCCTTGAAGCACACCCAGCACAACACAGACACCATCATCACTGACGAGTCCAGTTTTTCCCCAAATTTCCATAAGGCACAGCTCCAGGTCTGTGAGCCCGTGGCCAAGACGAGGGTTCAGGCTGCCACACACTGGTGGCGTGCATAGTCAGCAGTGAGACCTGGGCCCCCAGCACCATCCCAGACTGGTGGGGTGAGTGTCACAGCCTGGTGGGCACTGGGCAATGCCACCCCAGACCTCCTGGTGAGGGGGAAGCTGCAGCTGGCTGGCAGGGACCCAGGCCATGGCCATTCACAGCTGCATGGCAGCCAGGGTCACATTCCTGGGATAGCTGGGAGCTTTGCTGTTCACACAGGGAAAGGTCACCCTTGTGCAAGCAAGCGGCTGCCAGAACCACTGCCTGGACAGGGCAGGGGAAGGCACTGCCCCAGGAGACAGACAGGAAACCCAGCAGCTCCTGCCAGAGCTGAGCTTCTCCCTGGCTCCAGCCCAGCAGGATCCAGCCCTGGCACAGCCAAGGAGGGGCAGCTGCATACAGCCCTGAGGGGGCAAACAAGGCCATAGCATGAAAGCCACAGCATGAAAGAAGATGGAAACTCCAGTAAGCAAGAGGACCTACTGGCAGAGACACACTGTTTCTCCATGACCACCCACAGGACAGTGGGGCCAAGGCCACAGAGGTGCTAGGGGGGCCTGGGACAATTTTCACTGAGGCAAGACAGGAGGCAGCTGAGGGCAAGAGATTTATTGGTCATTCTCTATATACAGTTATATATTAATCTGTAGTAGAAAGCAGCAGTCACTAAGTGCACAGAGCAGCACCAACTCATGCCTCTCCTCACATTGCAGCTGGAGACTTGGCCACACAGCCCAGACCAAACTTACCCTCGTCTCCTCTGTGCTACAGCCAAATATAGGGATGAGGGGAGACTAAACCTGCAGGCAGTGAGGCTGAGGAGCACAGGAGTGACTAGCAGGGTCTCAGTGTGGCCAAGACAACATCTCCTGGGGATGCAGGCAGAGCTCTGCCTTGATCCCAAAAATACAGTCACCTAGCACAGTGCTGGAAAAGGTAGGGACAGAGCCCTGAGGTTGTTCTGCCCCATCCAGGAGATAGATGTAGGACCACATGTGGTAAGGATGGTTCCTCCATCACTGAGCCAGGACACAGGGCCTGGACAAGTACGTGGCAGGTCACAGTGAGCGCCAGGGCGTGCCCAGGGCTTGGAGCAGCTTCCAGGGGACAGCCGCAGGGACAGGGGCACAGCTGGGGGCAATGCTTCGCCACAGGAACCCCGCTTGTGCGGCAGATGCTGTGTGGCAAGGAGGGCTAGTCTGTCCCCAGCCTGGCACTGGCAGGAGGAACAGGGAGCGTGCGTGTCCTCTGGCAGGGTGACACCACACTGGGAACCAAACAGCCCAGGCTCCCGGCGAGCAAGGGCAGGGCATCCGCTGTCCCAGGTGTCAGGCAGTGCAGGGCCCAGGAGCTGGCTGGGCCTGTTTTGGTCACTTGATGAGCACCTGGTTGCACAGAGCACACACGAACACCGTCTCCCTCTGAGCCTCTGGGGCTGAAAAGGAAAGCAGGTGTCAGAGATGCTCCCCTTCCCCACCACAGGCTAGGGACCCCAGCCATGGAGCTGCTCTCAGAGCTGCAAAACCATCACCACTCTGACCCGAGCCAGGCTGCACTGGGCAGGTCCTGCCAACCCTCCCCACCACTGCTGGGGCAAATCCCTGCAGCAAACAGCACAGCTGGGAGCAGGAGCTCTGCCCTCCTCCACCTTTTCACTCACCTGTGGCTCCCATCACAGCCTTTGGGACTTTGAAGGAGCAACATCTGGAGCAGAAGCTGTTCCCACAGTTACTGCAGCTCCGCTGTGGAGAGAGGTGGAGGTGAGACCCTACTCTGGTCCCACTCCCAGCCCTCTCCATCAAACTCCAGTGTCAGAACACTGCTAGCAGCATTCTCTGCTGAAGGGGAGTGAGTGCAAACCCCGAGCTCCAACAGCAACAGCACAGGGGTCATCTGTCAACAATGCCTGGACAAACTGTCCAGGCCTAACACTGGATCTGCATTCAAGTATGCTCTAACATCACAGGAAGCCTGCACCCAGCCTGAGAAAGCACTGAGACCACAGGCTCCAGAAGGTTTAAAGACACAGTATCACCTCCTATGCTGTAGCCCTGGAGGGACACAAGCTCCAGAGAGTCCCAGAGGTATATCAGACTAACCCAGGAGGAAGGGGAGGGGGCCACAAGTCTAGAGAATGGGAGGCAGCAGGAAGACAGTAATGTGAGTCTGGAGGAGGCAAGAGATACATCCTTCCCAGAACCACCCAGGGGTCTGTGAGATCATGCACAGGGGCTCAGATAAGACAACAAGGGAGGCCTTTGCTCCTCTAGTTCCCACAAGCAGACCCATGCTCTGCTTCACCAAAAGCTCTCAGGCCACAGGAAACTGGCTCAACCAGGGCACAGAGCAGGTGCCTTCCACACCAGCACACGGGTTTGGCCTGAAGCAGCTTCCAAAGGAGCAACTAGACAAAGGCTCTACAGGACAAGGGATCTCTGGGACCATTAGGCATGCGACAACACCCAGCACTTAGCTGAGATCATCTGCTGCCGGACTGTGACTGAGGCCAGCCCCTGAGCTGCCGGGAAAAGCCAGGGTGAGCCAGACACAGGCAACACCTCTGCGTCAGGTACAGGCAGCAAGCTGAGGTAGAAGCCAAACACTCACCCTCTTCTTGAGCACAGAGAAGGTGGCTGCACAGCCCGTGCAGCTCCCTGGAAGAAAGAGAGCAGAGGTCAGGCAGGGCTCTGCTGCCTGGGACTGCAAGAGGTACAGAAACACCCACAGTTGTTGTAAAGGCTCAGCTTAGAGACAACATTGCTTCACCTTCCCATCCTTGACCTTCCTAGGAGGACTAGGAACATCCTCTCCATGGAAGGAGGAGGTCATTGGAGGTGTCGGCACAGCCCTGGCAGGTACTACACCACTCTGACCACTTACAGTTCAGTGGTCACCACAGAGCAGCACAGATCCCACTCTGCTGAGCTCCCACAAGCAGCACCTGCTCCCAGCCTTACCGAAGTTGTTGCTGGGGTAGCGCTTGCGCAGGCGCTCGGTCAGGCGTGACACCTTGCTGCGGATCACCTCGTTTTTGCTCATAAAACCATTGTCTGGGAGGCTGAGGTCAAAATCTGCTGAGCACTGAGAGCTCTCGTCATCCTCCTGCAGGGAACAGAGCCAGCTGAGCACAGGGGGGTGGCTGGGGGCACGCTTGAGGGCTGCAGGGCAGCCCACCCCAGAGATGGGCACCCAACAAGCAGGATGCTCCACCCAGCATCACCACAAGCCACTGGCAAACTAGGCAAAGGCTGTCAGCTCCAGCTGGGAGATGCCCCTCTTACACACCTTGGCATGGCAATACTCACCATGACCAGCAGCTGGTTCTCCTTCTCCCGCAGCATGGGACAGAGAGGAGAGGCAGTACAGATGACATCAGAGGCACCCAGCACCACAGCCACTCTCCCTGAGCACCCAGCTCACCCATCAACGCCCTCACCCCTTCCCACCTCAGATGCCCTACAGGCATAGCCCAGCCCACTAGCCTCAAACCTCGATAGCATCTTTGAACTCTTCATCAGGCTCTGCCTCCTCTGCCTCCTCCACACTGCCAGGGGTAAGGTCCTGCAAGAGATTCACAGAGCTAGTCCTGCTGTATCCCCATCCCTGTCCAAAGGTGAGCCCAAACTTCTGCAGCAGGTTGCAGGACAAAGGACCAGGCCCCAAGTGGCCCTAGAGTCCTAGAAGGTGAGGTGAGTGAGCCTCTGCCTCCCCAGACTGCATCTTTACGTGCAGCAAAAGACTGAGCCAAGTCCCCAGAGCCGTAGGACAGCCCCCCAGTAACTCAGGAGGGGCTCATAGGCTTCCAGCAAAGCTGGAAGACAGAAGGAGTTTGTGGGTAGAAGAACACAGGCACAGTCAGACCAAAAGGCAGACCAAAAGGACGACCCTGCAGCTCCCACCCCACAACTGCCAGCCCTGCCCCTATTTCACCTCTGTGCTGGTGGGTGTGGGGGTTCGATCCGGAGGGGCAGCAGGTGGCAGGGGTTCAACAGGCTCTGGAGTGTTCTCGAGGGGTTTGGTACCCACACGCTGCTCAATCGAGGCCTTGAGCTCCATTATCACTGGTAAGAGGGGAACATGGCTGGAGCGGGCTGGCACTTCCCTCCTCCCAGTCCCACCACGCAAAAGCCAACTGTGAGAGCCAATCTCCAGGGCTCAAGGCAAGACATCGGCACATAGAGCCTTCACCCATCAGGTACTCTGAGCCCTCCTCTGCTCACACATCATAGTTAGGGCAGGAAGGAACCCCCCACCACCTGACTCAGCTCAAGACAAGGAACAGCAGAGGCTTTCGTCACAGCTCAGCCACACAGATCTCCTCCAGCATGTGCCACAGAACAGGGAGCGCCTCCAGCTCTTCTCCTTCCCTCCGACGGCACGTTTTCAAGCCTGCATCATACATTGCCACAGGCACCAAGAGTATTTCAAGTCCTGCAGAGCAGGGTCAGGGACCAAGAGGAGTGGCAATGCTCACGCACAGGCTGTGTTGCCAGACTCCAGTTTGCTATAGTAGAGAGGAGAGCAGGAAACAGCACCCAGACCAGGACACACATCAGGAGAGACTCTCACCTCTCACAGCTGAACCACAGAGCCCCATCACCCAACCTGGGCTGCTGAGCACCATCCCTAGGACACCATTGCCCTCAGGGGGTTTCAGGTCTCACAGCAGAGCCCAACAGAGGACACTGGGCTCACATGAGGGTGCTGGGAGAGGTCCAGGACAGGATCCCTGACTTCAGAGGGCCTTTCCCCAAGCCATCCCACACAGGTCACTTCCAGGGAGGTCTTTTACCTTGGTAGAACTGAGTGTTGCCCAGAAAGAGGGTGCTGTTGAGGATGGCCAGGACCCAGCAGAGGGGCAGCAGGTAAAGGACGCAGACAGAGCCTAGCAACACCCCATAAAACCTGGGAAGGAGCAACAGAATACTGTGGCCAAGACAGAGCAACTCACACCCTTCCTTCATCCGGCCTCCACTTGTGCTCTCCAAGTACCAAACACATCAAATGCAGCTCCACAGGCCTGCCAGGCCCCTCTCCCCCCTGAGCCCACTGCAGGATGCCTGACCCACTGCTACTCACTGGGAAGAGACTGTGGGGTTCTCCCAGTACAGTACACGGTACACTGCCTCGCAGCTGCAGCACATCCCACTCAGGAATCCCTCCAGCTGGATCAGGCTGGAAATGAGAACTCACAGTCACAGAAAGGCCCCACAAACACACACCCTGGCTCCTCCACCCTCATACACTTGACAGTGGCCAGGCTGGCACGAACCCCGGCCCTCCGCAGCC